TTTTAGTAGAGACGGGGTTTCACCATGTTGACCAGGATGGTCTTGATCTCTTGACCTCGTGATCCACCCGCCTCGGCCTCCCAAAGTGCTGGGATTACAGGCGTGAGCCACCGAGCCCGGCCCAGTCTGGATCTCTTAACCTCGTGATCTGCTCGTCTCAGCCTCCTAACATGCATTCCAGGTGTGAACCACTGCACCCGGCCCTAAAGGTAGAGGAGGCGTCCCTGGGTGGGCACGAACCTAACTCTTAAACTCCCAGTGAATGTGCCGTTCTTTACACCACACCATAACTTATGTCAGCGAATAAGCCTGACATCTTCAGAGAATTCTCCAGGGTACTATGTCCTCAAGCCTTAACTTGTTTTTTGTTGTTGTTGTTATTATTGTGTTCCCGAGACAGTCTTGCTCTTTCCCCCAAACTGGAGTACAGTGGCAAGATCTCAGCTCACTGCAACCTCCGCCTCCCAGGTTCAAGCTATTCTCCTGCCTCAGCCTCCCAAGTAGCTGTGATTACAGGCGTGCACTACCACGCCGGGCTAATTTTTTGTATCTTTAGTAGAGACGGAAAAAAAAAAAACAAAAAAAAAAAAGAAAGAAAAAAAATATATGGAGTCAAAGGCAACACACAAAAAAAAAAAAAAAAAAAAAAAAAAAAAGAGAGAGAGAGACAGGGTTTTGCCATATTGGCCAGGCTGGTCTTGAACTCCTGACCTCATGATCCACCTCCCTAGGCCTCCCAAAGTGCTGGGATTACAAGTGTGAGCCACCACACCCGGCCAGCCTTAACTTGTTGTGTGGTGCTGTTGTTAAAGAGATGGCACTATGACTGGACCTTGGGGCCACAGTAAACTTTTAAAATTCCTTTCCCCAGTATCCCACTGGCTTAACCAATGGCCCCTCCCTTTGAGAACTGAGAGAATGGTAATTCCTGGATAGATCGTCTGTCTTTATAAGGAGAAAAGTTTGGCAATGTGATTTCCTGTATGTTTCTACTGGAGTCTAAGATTCCATCAGTGCTAGCCTAGACAGCCGTGGCAGCCACCTAGAACCCAGATGCCAGGAGTGCTCCCAAGTCAGCATGAGGGCATCTTCCCAAC